CTGACATTTTCGAAAATTTTAGAGATGTATGTATGAAATATTATGGATTGGACCCTGCTTATTATTATACATTGCCTAACTTTGCTTTTGATGCTATGCTTAAAATGACTGGTGTAGAGATTGATTTAATATATGACCAAGAAATGTATGAAATGATAGAAGCGGGACTTAGAGGCGGGATGTGTATGGTTTCTACTAAAAAAGTTGAAGCAAATAATAAATACATGGGAGAAGAATATGATAAAAATAAAGAAAGTAGTTATATTAACTATTTTGATGCTAATAATTTGTACGGGTTAAGCATGATACAAAAACTGCCATATAAAAATCTAAAATGGGATGATACATTAAAAGAAGAAGACATTATTAATTACAAAAATAATAATATTGGATATATTCTAGAAGTGGATTTAGAATATCCTAAAGAATTACACGATTTACACAATGACTATCCAATGGCACCTGAGGTTATGAATGTTAAAGCCGACATGCTGTCAGATAAACAAATTGAAATTTATGAATTTTTAAATCATAAAAAACCTACGGATGAGAAAACAAATAAATTAGTATTGAATTTAAATGATAAAGAAAAATATGTAATCCATATAAGAACCTTACAATTTTATTTGAAGCAAGGGTTAAAACTTAAGAAAATTCATAGAGCAATTAAATTTGAACAAAAAGAAGTTTTAAAACCTTACATTGAGTTTAACACAGAGAAGAGGAAGAATGCTAGAAATGATTTTGAGAAAGATGTTTATAAATTGATGAACAATGCCATATTTGGAAAAACAATGGAGGATAAGCGAAAACATTTAGACTTTGAAGTTGTGAGTGATGAAACTAGATATATGAAGTGTGTAAGTAATCCTAACTTCAAACATAGTCATATCATTAATGAGAATTTGGTTGGAGTTGAAAAGCAAAAAACAAAGTTGAAACTAGACAAACCTATATTTATTGGGATGAGTATTTTAGATTTGAGTAAGCAACACATGTATAAAGTTTATTATGACTTTATGAAACCTAAATTTGGAGATAATATTAAAATGGTATATACTGATACTGATAGTTTGTATTTCATACTAAAACCGTTGACATTTATGAAGACCTTAGTACAATTAAAAAAGAAATAGATTTTTCAGATTATCCTAAGGAACATAAATGTTATGATGATAATAACAAGAAAGTATTAGGTAAATTTAAGGATGAATTAAAAAGTAAAATAATAACAGGGTTTATAGCCCTTCGTCCTAAATGCTACGCTTACTCAGTTTATGGTGATGAAAAGAAATATAAGAAATGTAAGGGCATAGCAAAAGGCACAGTAAGACGTCAAATGAAATATGAAGAGTTTGAGACGGTTTTAAAAACTAATAAGGTTATACATAAGTCATTTAATAATATTAGAAGTAAAAACCACAGAATTTTTAGTATTACAACTAAAAAAATTGCTCTTAGTAGTTATGAAAACAAAAATATTGGATAGATAGTATAAACTCACTTGCTTACGGCCATTATAAAATAAATTCTTTGCAAACGACTTAAAGAAATATTGACTTAATATATTAAGATAGAAATGATTGATGCAGAAAGTGAATATGGAGAATATAGTTATATAGAAAATGTGTATAGCGAATTTAATGATACTGTCCATGAAGATATTGATGTTAAAAATATATTGAAACAAAAGTTTAAGAATTACAAATGTAAAGACTGTGAGATGTTAAAGTTAACAATTCAACAGGGTTTTATAGATGGTGTTAGTAATAATATTTGTCAATGTATGATATGCAATAATTGCAATAGAATTATAAACAAAATTGATTATATGAATAACGCAGATTTTGATACTAGAAATGCTGAAACTCTTGATGATGATTTAGAAATTTGTTTTTATTGAAATGAATAGGTTCTATACTGAAAAAGAATATGATAATGTATTGGATAATGGATATGTGGATGGTTTTATTTATAATTATTATAGAATGGTAAAAAGATTATACAATATGTCTTTTAGCATTAAACTTTTAAAATACGAAGCATTGAATGAAAATGGCTATGATTTGTTAAATGAGTTTATAGAT